AGAAGCTGCCCGCCGCCAGGGCCTCCCGCCCCGCTCAGACAGCCCCCGCTGCGCGTTTGCAGACACAGAAGTGCTTGTGTTTCCTGCCTTCTGTTTGTGAATTGCCTTTTATATTTTTGCCTGCTTTTCTGATGCATGTATGGTCCCTTTCCCGTAGGAATTTTTTGTATATCCTTGATTTCTTGTCTTTTAACTTTGTTTACTGCTGCTTTTGTAGAAGGAGGTTTATTGGTTGTCGTTGTTGCACTTACGTTTTTCTCCATGACTTTCAAACCCCATCACCTGGGGATCTACTTGTTAAAATGCAAATTATGGTTCAGAAGGCCTGGGAGGGCGTCTGAGATTCTAAGTCCCTGTTTGGAACCAAGCTTTGAGTAGCAAGGGTTTGGGTAGTGTTTAGGGCATAAGTATATTCCCCTGTATTTTCTAACAATATTATCCTTTTGTTTTTACTTTTATGCCACAGATGACAAGACTTTGCTCTGGCTTTGTGAGCCTCCCTCGCCCTCTCTCACTTCCCCTGAAAGATTATTTTGAAGGGTGGTAATAGCTATAAATAGCAGTAACTGTAAATTTCCTTTAGCATACTTTAGGGGGAGAGGGGCTATGATATCAAATAAACAAATGGGATAATTAAGATTTCAAAAAGTCTGAATCATTCTATAAGCATGAAACGTTTGTGTGAATATGTGCATATATAGGATTACTGAGGAAATACAATAAGTTCCTTGCCCTGGAGAGTTTAAATTTGGTTGGGAAACAAAACATACACTGATAAGAGTATAGTTATAAAACATTGTATTAAGAGTGAAATATTAAGATGCAGGTCACAAGCATAATTGCTATGGTTTATAAAATGTGATCAAGGCAAGCCATTAATCAGGGACATCATCCTGAAAGGTAATGTGATTTTAAGTGGCTTGGATCAGTGAAGTATTGAGAGGGACTGAGTGTGTTCGAGGGGGAGTTAGCAAGTCTTTATTGAGGGCTTGGAGGCTGCAGAAGGAACCTGAATGGCAAACCAGCTAGTCTGACCATGCCAGTTTTCACCGCAGGTGAAAGTTTTTGACATTCAGGGTTGAATGTGTCATACTTATGAGGGGTTTACTGTGATTCTCTTATAACAGAGTGAATTTAATGCGTACAGTCAGGAAGTCATTACCGTTCTTGGGGAAATTGATCTGGTGCTGGAGAAGCTGCCTGAATGGGTTACTGCTACACCAGCCAAGAGGAACCTGCTCACCATGTTGGACGAGGCTTATGTCCAGCCAGAGCCCCTGGGAGTTGTACTGATTATAGGAGCTTGGAACTACCCCTTCGTTCTCACCATTCAACCACTGATAGGAGCCATTGCTGCAGGTCTGATGCCAGCTCATGTCTTTATACCTTTTTAGAGGGTGTTTTTCTCTCATTGATTATAAATTAAGGATGGTGGCTAATATGTTTGCTTTGATGATATGCCTTGGTTTACACCAGCAATATATTGAGAACTTATAAATATAAAGGCATGAGTCAACAGGCTCAGGAATTTAGAGTCAGGCATCTATATTCCAATGTGGTTTCAGTGGCCATCTCTGGCTGAATCATTTGATTCTTTCTGACCATTTCTTCATTCAGCTAAGAGCTATGGAATGTTGCTAGCTTGGGTTTATAGTAAATTCCAGGAGATCAGTGTCTCACTTCTGCAGGATCCAGGGCAACAGCCTTGTATTGACAAACCCTGGTTGCCCAATAATTCTAGGATAGAGAGGAAAATCCTGGAGTGAGAGTGGGAGGAAAGTGATGGAAAGATAGAGGAGTGGGGGAGGCTGATGGAACCTGATGGAACCTTCTGAGAACTAAGAAGTTAGCATTTGAGAAAGAGAAAGTGAGACAAGCTCTTATGCTCATTATGAGGAAGAAGAGAATTCAGAGCAGCAGGAGTAATTGGAGTACTTAACCTGTATTCTCTACACGAACACCATTTTGGTAGCTGTTAAAAAGTTTAGTCAACTGTTAGACGATATTGTCCTGCTTTTTGCTTTGTTTAGGAAATGCTGTGATTATCAAGCCTTCTGAAATAAGTCAAAATACAGCCAACATCTTGGCTAAGCTCCTCCCCCAGTATTTAGACCAGGTAAGAATGTCTTGACTGTCTTGAAAACACCTTTGTTGTGGGAACACACATTTGACCTCTACTAGTGCTTGTCATTGATGGCTAGGTATCGATTTGCAGCTTTAACAATTAAGCCTCCAACCATTGACTTAATAAAAGAAGTTGAGGTCCAAAATAAACTGTAGAATAGCTCAGCTATTGTTACTATGCAATATATTTAGGCCAGTGGCTTCATGGGCACCCTTGCTACTCATAGATCCTCTTCTGCCATTGGCATTTTGGATTAACCTTTGACCTAACATGATTTTAGGTGTATTCACCTAGTGAATTATTTAATGAAGGAGTAGAGCTATGCTAGGTCCTGATCATCTTTTTTGTTTGAGGCTGTATGAAAACACTTCGCTTTACGGTGGGTCTGTTGGTGGCATGAAGTTACAGAAGGAAAATGGCCTAAACCAGAGTGTGGACTGTTACTCGGGTTAAAGTGCTGGCATTTAAGAGCATCAGAGTTGAATAAAGAAAATGACCTCCTCAGCCAGGTGGTTCATCTCTCTGAAGCAGAGGGTCTCATGCCCTCCAAAGGAGGAAATTTGTGCTGCCACCACCATGGAATTGGGACTGTTTAGTTCTACATGGAATTGCTGCAGAAAGGAGTCCTCATTTCACTTTCATTGAAAGGCAGCTTTAAAATATCATACCCTGTAGCTGTACACATTAGTTTATAATAATCTAGAGGCCAGCTTTGGGCCTTAGAGTCGTATTGTTTGTTGTGTTAAACACTTAACAAACTTGTTCTAATAGCTGTGGTTGTGTAGCTCAGACAGGTAATGAAAGCAGTGAGATGTCATAGATTGAGTAGGGTTTGGAACCAGAGCATAGAGCATGAAGGGCCTGCTTGGGCCCTCACCAGGGGTAAATATTTCACTATCTGACTCTGTCCAGATGGGTATAGTCATGCCCACCCTGCCTCCCTTAGCTTGTCAGGGAGATCAGTCACATGTGCTCCATAGATTAAGCCATATACAAGTTAAAACTTGAAACAGTTGTTGGGCAGTTGAACTCTGAAGTGAATGGGAACTAATTAGCCCCCCTAATTAGGAGACCAAGTGGAAGCATGAGGTCCACAAACAAGCTTTTACTTCATGCCTGCACCTCAGAGTCTTGAACATATCTCCCTCTGTCTTCCTTGTCATCTGTCCTCTGTCCTCGCTTTTCATGTTTTTCAAGAAGTTCCCTTTCATAGCAGTGCTAATAATAGCGCAGTCATGTAAGGGCTCAGTCGAAAGCCATGGAACTTCTCCCCAGTAATAGATGAGGAAACTGAGGCTCAGAGGTATTCAGTGGTTGTCAAAGATCAAGTAAGCTAGTAAGTCACAGAGTGAAGATTTAGTCCAGATGTGACTTCAGAAGCAAGTGTTCTCATCTGCTCTGCGCTGCATACCATTCTTTCAGCAGACAGTTACTTGGTTCCTACTATGGACTGAGCCCGGCACTGTGTTGTGTAGAGAATGTTCAGGTTAAGACATTAAGTTGGGGCCTATTCTGCGGTCATTCGCGGCAGTCACTTTTTTCTCACCTCAATCCTCACCTTGCACAGCCCTCATCTTATACATTTCCCTGGTCAAAACCAGCCACTTGCCCTCTTCTCTTTTGTCTTCATTGCTGAGCTCAGGCAGCAAACACTGGACTCTCTAGTCAGTCCCACTGTGGGATGATGTTCTCAGATGCCGTCAGACTGTTTTCCGCTTGTCTTCCATCTGATCCCTCTTCTAGCCTCACAGGGCTGGTCTCCATCTGTTTGTGGTTTTACTGAATGTTACATGTTTATGTTGAAGAAACTGCTCATGTTAGACAATCGGATTAACTGGGCAATCCAAGTGTTTGTTTTTCTTTTTTTTAAAGATTTTTTAATTGATTTTTAAAGAGAGGAAGGGAGAGGGAGAGAAAGAGAGAAAGATCAATGTGAGAACACAATCAGCTACCCCCTGCGTGCCGCACTTCACAGGGTATCAAACCCGCAACCCCGGCATGTGCCTTGACCAGGATTCGAACCAGCAACCTTGGGGTACATAGGACAGTGCCCAACCAACTGAGCCACACTGGCCAGGGCTATGTTTTTCTTTCTTTAAGGACCTGTATGTTGTTGTTAATGGTGGTGTTAAAGAAACCACAGAGCTCCTGAAGCAGCGATTTGACCACATTCTCTATACTGGAAACACTGCAGTTGGAAAAATTGTCATGGAAGCTGCCGCCAAGCATCTGACCCCTGTGACTCTTGAACTGGGAGGAAAGAGTCCGTGTTACATTGACAGAGATTGTGACCTGGATGTTGCCTGCAGGTGAGACCAGCTCTATGATCATCTGGGGTTTTCCCAGCATGGTGGAGACTTCCTAAGAGGTTGATGTATCCTTTTTGCACTGGAACCTTACAACTTTTGGCCCCAAGAGACATCATTAAGCCTTAGTGGTTGATATCCTCATGGGTAACAGAACTCTTTCCTGACTCTCTGCATACCACTGCCAGAAGAGATGAGCAGTAGATCATGACATCACATGGTCTTCTTTAGGAGTTATGGGAAAAGGTTCTTTCAGTTCTTGAGATTATAGATCTATAAGAAGTTTTGTTGTGCTGTTGGTAAATGATCCAGGAAGTAGGTAATCCAAAGTATTGTGTATGCCTAATAAAATCTTTAAATTCTCAACAGAAAGGGTATTATGTTGATTTCTCAACTGAGTTTCTTTGTTGATAAAACCCAGTATTATCTATCTTTTAACTTAGATTAGCATCTTGCATCTGGGAATTAGAAAACAAGAGGTTTCAGGTTCTCTGCTAAATCAGGTTTAGCTATCAGAAAGTACCAAAACCCAGACCTGTGTGCTCAGGATGTGTGACTTTCTCTCTCCGTCAGAGATGGGGAGCAAGGGAGGTAGAGAGGGCTTGACTGGGGTCCAGGTTGGTTTCGTAAGTAGAAGTCTGTTTGCCAGGATAGGGGGCCCTCAGTTGTGAATGTTCATGTCATGGACTTTGATCCATACATGGGCACAGCTTTCCAAAGTGGGGAGGGCTGTTCTGCATGCCTGAACATCTTGCCAGCAAGGCCTAAAGCTGCAACCAGGAGAGGTGAGTCTGGATGGAACTCCTGTCATCCCAGATGTCCTCTTGGCTGAAGTGGGAGGAGGAAGGGTGTTGGGAGGCTACTTCTTTCTCTTCCTGTAGTAGACAGTGGTTTCACTGCTCATAAAGAACTGTTTCCTATGAGCTTGCCTGAGAATACTTCCTTAGAGTACTTCACATCAGTTGGAAAATGCATTCTAGTTCCAGCCAACTGATTTAGAGACGAATTCTTAAAATATTTTTATTTTTATAAAGATTACCAACTAAGTGTGAATACATGCTAGTTGGAAACATTGAAACAACACAAATGTATGTAATGAATAGTGGGCTTAATTCTGTGGCTCTGGGTTTTTCCCCTCAGACGCATAGCCTGGGGGAAGTACATGAACTGTGGTCAGACCTGCATTGCTCCAGACTACGTCCTCTGTGAACCGTCCCTCCAGAACCAAATCGTGCAGAAGATTAAGGAAACTCTGAAGGTTTGTGTGTAACGTGTCTGACTCCATTGGTTTCATTAAGAGTCAGATCAACTGTTTGCAGGCAGCATTCTTACACCCTCTCTTCCCCAGGAAAACTCCAATAGTATACGTGACTAAACTAACTTACTGGCTAATTAAAAATGCTCTGTACCCCATTCCTAGGATGCCTGCTGGGAGCAAGACTAGGTTGGTGTTAAGCCCTGTCTAGTTGATCTGTTGATGAAACAACTGGTCAGTTGTGGTATATGCTTTAAAACAGCAATTTTCAGCCTTTTTCATTACAGGGTACACATAAACTAATTACTAAAATTCTGCTGCACACCAAAAAATATATTTTTTGCCAATCTGACCTAAAAAAAGTTATAATTTTGTTTCATTCACACTGAACGGCCGTTGTTGTGTTGGCTGTTGTCATTTTTTTCTTTGACAGTCTAAGGGAAAAGAGATCAGTGCCCCTGACTCAATAGTGAGGTATTGTATGTTTTAAAAATGCTTGTTGCACGCTGGTAGAAAATCACTGCTTCAACATAACTATGTGTGTGGTTTGGAGAGAGTGTTGCCTGTCCTTTGAAGTGTGATCAAGTGTGGCTTTCGCACAGTGGTCATTGCTGATTCAGGTCATCAGTTCCTGTGTATTAGAGTGTTTGGGAAAGCAGAGAGTTTGGAGGAGTGAGTTAATCAAACACCTGTTTATAGTATATTCTGGACATGGTCATCAGTCTTCCAGGGTGTTCAAAGAAGATCTGTAGCAAGGAAATCAAGGAAGGCTGTATGGTAGTGTCCTGAGTCCCGTGGAGAAATGATATGCATGGTGCGGACTGAAAAGGAATGGGATGGACAGTGTGACTGAGGTCACTGGTGGGAGAGGCTATTAAGCCCCCCGGGTAGGAGAAGTTATTAGAACAGTCATTCTCGACTTGACAGATGCTAACTGAGCACTGGAAGGAAGGGTCAAGAATACCAAAGAGTACCATTTATGATCAGAGAACAGGAACTGTACACCAGGATTTCAGGGTAGCACAGTGCTCCAGGCAGGGTAACTCTGGGCCTGAGGTACCAAGGGTCCTGGACAGAAGTGATGGGACTGAAGAGGGAACCTGATGAGGAGAATATGAAAGGAGAATTGGCCCGACTCGGGGAATGTGGGATGTGCTCAGGGATGGTACAGATCCCTGTGAGACTATAAATACTTGAGAAATCATATTTTGTTGAGAATGGTGATGAAGGAGTAAGAGCCCCTCAGCCTTTCTTTGAGGCGTTTATACGCTTAACAGTAGTTCCTAACCAGCGTCACTAGGGAGCCATGTAAGAACATCCCAGTCCTCACCTTCCAGACTGTGGTTCAGTTAGTCTGGGGTCTCCAGGTGATTCTAAGGTGCAGCCAGCATTGAAAACTGGTTGGTGGCACCAGAGTTGGGGCCCAGGAATATACATTTCAGCAAGCTGCTCAAATGATTCTTGTTCGTTTGTTTGTTTGGGGGGCAGGTTTGTTTCTTTGATTTTGAAAGTACATTTATTGAAGCTGGGAACAGTGAAACAAGGAAGGACTTAGGATAGAAGAAGCAACAGGAGAGCCTAAGTGTGGCTGCTTAGGCTCTCTGGAAAGTCAGAAAAGGGGGCCTTGGAGACAGGTTCAAGGGTTAGCCTGGGACAGGCTGCCGCTGCCCATTGCTCCCCTGGTTTCAAATCTCCTGGAGTCCCTTAGAGCTTAGGAGGTGCGTGCCTGAGAGAGAAGAAAGGTGTGGGCGTGCTCCTGCTCAGGTGATTCTTTTCTTTTTTTAATATATTTTTATTGATTTCAGAAAGAGAGGAAGGGAGAGGGAGAGACGTAGAAACGTCAATGATGAGAGAGAGTCATTGATCGGCTGCCTCCTGCAGGATGGAGCCTGCAACCCAGGCATGTGCCCTGACCAGGAATCAGATGTTGATCTCCTAGATCATAGGTTGATGCTCAACTGCTGAGCCACGCCAACCCAGCCTCCTTGGGTAATTCTTACCTCCCAGACTTGAGCAATTTGTGGAGGGTGGGTGAACTATGCTTATTTTGATTTGAGAGTAAGTTGAGAGCTTTCATAAGGCTTTGAAGTGACACAATAATTTAGTAATTTTGTGTTTGTTTTACATAATAAATATTGATTATGTAGCCTTTGAGGTTCTTTTACCTTATTTAATTTACCAAAACTGTATTTTGATCTTCTGAGTGGTTTCCCTATCATCTATGACTGGTGGAAATACCAGTCCAGAGAAGATAGAAAACAATGAAATAGCGCAAAGCTCAGCAAACTGTTTCTGTAAAAGGCTAGATAGTAAATATTTTAGGCTTTGTAGGTCATAGGGTCTCTGCTGCAGCTACACAACTCTTTGCAGGGGAGCAGCCACAGCTGATAGGTAAACAAACGTGGTCTAAAAGTAGAGCAAGATCTCCTTCTGCACCTGCTCGTGCGTTTGGCTCCGGTCAGGCCCACAGGTAGACTGAAAAGTTCTCTACGACCCCTGAAACCACAGAAAACGATGAACGTGTGTGCACTTTAATTCTTTCCTTGATACGCCCAAGGGCTTGAATTGACACTGTTACAGATTCTCCTCGACTTGCAGTGGGCTTACATTCTGATAAGCCCATCATAAGTTGAAAATATAAGTTGAAATTCATTTAGTACACCTAACCTACTGAACAACATAGCTTAGTTTAGCCTACCTTAAACGTGCCCAGAACACTTACATTAGCCTGCATTTGGGCAAAATCATGCTGCCACTGCCCAACCCGAAATAGTGTCATACCACATATCGCTGGCCTGGGAAAATCAGGCTTCACAGAGTACGCTTTCTATTGAATGTGTATCACTGTTGTACCATCATAAAGCCAAAAAATCTAAAGTTCAACCCTCGTAAGTTGGGAACAATCTGTATTGTTACAGTACTTGGTGGCATGGGATGTGATGATGTAAAACCAGATCGACTTTTGAGCATGAGTGAATTTTGTACTTATTAAAGAAATTGAGATATGGGTCTTTTGTGACAAGCACTATTGTTTTAAATAGGAATTTTATGGAGAAAATATAAAAGAATCTCCTGATTATGAAAGGATTATCAACCTTCGTCATTTTAAGAGGATACTAAGTTTGCTTGAAGGACAGAAGATCGCTTTTGGTGGGGAGACTGATGAAGCCACCCGCTACATAGGTAATGGGAACCCACCTTTTCTTATGGGGAAAGGAGATTGACAGTATTTATTGATACTATTTACTGACACTAAGTAAACAGATATTTGGTGTAAAATAGACTGTGGAATACTGCTTCTGGTAAACTGTTTAAAGATGGTCATGTAGATACACATGTTTAGTAATACCACCTGTGTTGCACTAGTTTTTTTGTATTTACATGTATTTTGTCTAAGTTTTTCTTCCTAACTACATTGAGAAACAGAAGAGAACTCTGTAATTGTTTCCAGCTTATGCCTGGAAAACCAACTTCAAGAAGGAAATAGCTGAGCTAATGCCACAGCTGGCCACGGGCAATACTATTGCAGAAATAATTTTTTGATCTATCATGCTTGACATTATTTGTTTACTATTTGTGTTATTTATTCTTTGCCATAAATCTGATTAGCTTTTAATTTTAAACACATTTTTCCAAAGTAACATATAACAGAAGAATTTCACATTTAGTGGGCAAAACTGCCCCAACCAGCTTTATTTCTCCTATCAGGTAGGATGCTGCTCATTACAAAAAACCCAACTTAAAACTCAAAGGACTTAATAAGGGAAAATGTATTCTCAGATAATGAGCAGCCCCAAAGTACTTCCAGCCTGTGATTTCAGGGGCTCAGTAACACCCTCCAAAAGCCCCAGTTGTTTCATCTTTCTGCTCTCCTACTTCTAGGCTTATCAGTGGCAAGAGGAAAGACCATTCATGCTTAGCTCAGACTAGTTAGGAACTTTCCTCTGACCTGGAGTCAGGATCACTGTATCTGAGCACATAACTATCTGCAGTCCTCTGACCCAGGGAAGCAGCGGGCAGTGGATTTGGGGTGCAGCATATATACCCCTGGAGTGTGTTGGCAAGAACTGTCACCACGTTTCCGGAAGAGCCTAATGGGAAACTAGGAGTAAAGGAAAAGAGGAAACTTGTTATTGTCAGGTGTCTTCCTTTTCAGTTGACAGTCAGCTTGTGTGCAGGCTCTCTTTGGGTGTGCCTCTCGTCCTGAATGCTGGGATGCTCTGCAGAGCTGCTTCAACATCCATGGTGCCCTCCTTTTTGCACCCCTTCCCCATAGTGGATGGAACACTGAACTAAGGGTTAGAGAATCTTGGCCATTTAAATATGTTTTCTTAATCTGTAACGGGATGGAAATAAAGGTCAATGAGATACTAAGCAAGAAAGCACTTGAATTAAGTGTTGATGTGATCCACAGAGGGGCTGTCTGTGCTCCCCGAAAGATGTAAACATAACCTGCTGTTATGCATGTGGCTGCGAACAGGGTTAAGCGTGACTAGGATGTTTCCAGGTGTATCTCTCTCTCGGTTTGCATCAGGATCCCCTGATTCACATGCTTGCAGACATTTAGGTTGAATGGTTCATCCGCATGCTCAGGACTCTTTCAATGGATGATACTTGGGTGGGAACAGGGAAGGGGTGGATAGGTGACCTGATGAAAACTGTGAGGCAAGAAGCTTGCATTTCTGTCTTCTGTAGCATTTTCATTTTATTTCCCTTTCAGCCCCAACAGTACTTACTGATGTTGATCCTGAAGCCAGGGTGATGCAAGAAGAAATTTTTGGACCAATTCTTCCAATAGTGCCTGTGAAGAATGCGGATGAAGCCATAAAATTCATAAATGACCGTGAAAAGCCCTTAGCTTTCTATGTGTTTTCTCGTAACAGTAAGGTAAGCTTTACAGAGAACAGCCCACTGTCATAAGCCACGATCATAAGCTGTGTTCCCTCTTTGCAGTAAATCAAACAGTTTATTTTGTATTATACCAACTGAGGCTGTACTTGTGAGGTCTTGGGGCTATCACAGTAACCTTTCCCGTACTCCTCAGGGATAGATCTGTGTCCACAGGGGTGAGTGTCACAGGGTTTTTGACTCAGATACCTCCCGCATAATTGGAAGACTCATGTACCAGCTTGGAAGCTTTTCTGACATTAACCCACTGGGCATGTCTGTGTCAGAGCCTTTCCGCTCTACGCAGACAGTGTTCCCGACTGCTCGAGGGCTGTGGGGAGCAGAGATCTCTGGCACCGACGGGAGTGGTTGTGACATCTTTGTCTCTCCAGCTGCATTGCTTTGCTGTTAGGGTGGTAGGACTGACCCAGGCAGGCGGATGTTTTCCACCATGTGACCCCAGCGTGCACTGCGTGGCACTGTTCCATGTGGCTTATTCACTTGCCTTTCAAGGTGACCGCTGCTGCAAAGGGACAGTGGCCTCAATGTGGGCAAGGAGGTTCAAGAGCCCTCTGAAGAAAAGCAAAAACTAAGAGGGGAAAATGAACCGGTCAGAGTCTGAGTGTCCAAGGTTAGGTGTGTCCTGGAGAGCCTCTGAAGGTAGCACATAGGCTGTGGCAGCTTCAGCAGTGGTGACATGGTGACACTATTGAGATGCAGATCTCTACAGATGTGTTAAGTGAACAGGTGTGTTAGCTCAGGAAAGCATGGGTTATTAACAAGCAGAGGGCTTTTATTTTTAAAAAAAAATACATTGATTTCGTAGAGCGGAAGGGGGGGAGAGAGAGAGAGAGAGAAACATCAATCATGAGAGTCATTGATGGTCTACCTCCTGCACACCCCCTGCTGGGGATCGAGCCTGCAACCAGGGCATGTGCCCTGACCGGGAATCTCAACCTCTGGGCCACACCAGCTGGGCATGAAGTCTGACATTTTAAGTGGCCATAGAGAGTATGGTGATGGGACCCCAAAGGTCAAGTCCACTGGCCAGGGTGTGCTTGGTGGGGAGCGCTTGCCAGCAGCTGGGTTACCTGTGTGACCACAGTCCCCTGCGACGTTTCCTATGAAGAACTCTCAAGGGGTTGTTGGCTCCCAGGTGAGAGACATTTACCACTCAGGTGTCATTTCCCCCATTCTTAGGACAACCATTTCTTAAAAAACTGGATGCTAAATCTTAAATATGTGTTGCATTTCATAAAAGCTAAATGCATCTATAAATCATATTCTATAAGTTAAAGCAGAGACGGAGAATTATTAACAATTTGTACAAACCAGAGTATAGTCTGAACTGTCCCTTATTTTGAAGACTTTTTGCTGCCATTTTGGGGAGTCCAGCTCTTAAAAGGGCCAATTCGGTGCTGCCTCCCTTGAAGTACTCGATGTGCATCTGAGAAGTTAAATAGTGATCACATTTGCTGTCTCCTCCTGTCCGGGGCTGGCCTCTCCTTGAATTGTTTCATGATTTGAGAAGAGCAGGAGACTCCCCCTATCTAGAGGATGGCAGGAAGGATTCGGTCTTGGTAAAGCTCTGTGGACACTTTAAATTGTTTGTTTGGCACGGTTCCCCAAACTCGAGTAGCCGTGCAGCCTATGAGGGCGGAACGTGCCTTACAGCGCACAGGCCGCTGTGGGCGTCACCAACCTGCCAGCCTTGGTCTGTTCCTCAGCTCGTCAAGCGGATGATTGAAGGCACGTCCAGCGGGGGTGTCACGGTCAACGATGTGATCATGCACTTCACGCTCAGCTCCCTGCCCTTCGGAGGAGTGGGTGAGTCCCCCTCCTGCTCACAGCAGATCTTTCCGGATGTTTCGTGAACAGCTCTCTGCTGGCCCATCCTCCCTGGGACCTCCCTGACCGCCCAGTGGGAAGCCCCCTTCTGCTACCCTCCAGGCCCAATGTTGAGTGTTCTCTGTCCGGTCACCCACCTTTCATCTTTGGTAGCACTTACCACAGTCTCTGACTGTTTTGTTCCTTTCATTGCTTTACTTGTTGATTGTCCTCCCAGATTTAGATACTTTTGGGGGACCAGCAGTCAGGTCTCTAATTAATAAGGTTCCTCTGTCTTTGGTAAGGGAGGTATAAATGATAGGTTTAGATGGCCAGGAGCAGGCCGCAGGGCCAGGGTTTCTCATGGCCCCATGCTGTCTCCCAAGTAGTGTTATGCATGCCCCCTGCACTGCTCCCAGCCCTCGGTACAGGGGTTGGCCTCTCCTTGACTCGTTTAATGAGACTCCCCATGTCAGGAGGATGGCAGGAGGGATTCACTCTCGGTGCAGCTCTGTGGACACAGCCTGCTGCTCCCTTTGGGCTGTAACCTACCTGCCTTTTTTACGCCTGGGATGATTGACTCAGCTTTTTATTTTTTCCTTTGGGATCTAGGTGGTAGGCTTCTTTGTTATCTATTAGAGATATTACAAATTAACATATGTGTAAAAATTCTCACAGCAAAAAACACACGATAAAAGCCGTGTTAAAAGCTCCTGCTTTATTTTCTTCCTTTGTAAATCAACTGCTCCATGGGAATGACAGGCCCGTTTTGCCTGTTAACCACCTGTTCCAGTTTAAGGCAAGCTAGTCTTAAACCCTGGCCTGCTTTCCATGATGCCATAGGTCCCTTTCTAGGCATTGCCAGGACCCAGCACAGTGACCGACAAATATGAGGGGCTTGTGGGTGAGACTGGGTCAGGGGATGGTGCAGGATCTAGACGGGCACAGTAGTGGCTCGGACGAGGATGGTGGCAGGGGAGCTAGTGGAAAGGGCGTGAATCTCTTGGGAGTCAAGCAACAGGATTTGCTGATGGTTGTGTTTGGGTGTGGAGAGGTGGTGAATGAAATAAAGGATGGTTAGTGGGATTTGGGCTGTAGTTACTATAGGTTCACTGCCCAAAAGATTAGACTCTGCTGTGTCTAGTTCCTTAGTGCCCCACAGAATCTTGGCTCCTACCTGAAGGAACAGCCAGTCATTGCTCCACATGAGGTCACAGGTGCCTGCTAAGTGCAGATCTAGTGACGGGCTCAGTCCCTATCTGACTAGGTAGCATTTGGCACCATTCACCACACCCTTCTCTTTATAACAAAACACACCCCCTGACAAATGCAAAAGAAATTCGGGCTTATTAAGAAAACTTGGAAAAGATAGAAGAGCCCAAAGAAAAAAATTTAGATTACCCATAACCCCAGTATTTAACAACAACCTCTGATGAATGTCTTTAAAATTCTTTTCAAAGTTCATGTCTTTTGATACATGTCAGGAACCAGCCTGAAAGAGGAACAGAGGAGCAGTGGGAATGAAAGAGACAAACACAGTTATGGGATCAGGAGGAATGCCCTCCGATGAGGTGCAGCCTCAAATGGCTTCAATGCCTTTATTATATAGTAAGCAACAAACAGTTAGTAATGAGGTGAGGGTGATACAAAGTAGTTCCTTCAAGGCTGCATGAACACTCTTTCAGAGTAAACACCCTGCCTCCTGCATGAGCCCAGACCTTGGTAACTATCTTTATTTCGGCTCTTAACAGGAACTTGTGGGGAGGGTTGAGTCCTTGGCTCCAGGCCCTCAGGCTACGTTGACCATGTCCAGACACGTAGCGGGCTCTCAATATCAAGGGTAATTGTGGGAGGGTCGAGTCCCTGACTCCAGACCCTCAGGTGGCGTGGACCATGTCCAGACATGTCACCGGCTCCCAACATCTCCCCCTTTACTTTTTAATTTGAGCCAGTGGACTCCTATCTGCAGCTCTGAGATCTTTTGTATTTCTGCTCGGACACAGACTGGGAATAAACATAGGAATATTAACACTACAGCCAACAACATAATACCAGAATAGAATAATGAAGATAAACTATGTCTAGAGATAATATTAGAAAACTTGTCAAACAGTTCTTTTGCTAAGTCTGCGGGTGAGGTATCCAGAGGAGGAGCAGATTCTATAGCATTTATATTAGCATTTATAGCGGCATGTAAGCAGCAACATCAATAGATACATTATTTTCACTCCATATCCCCATAAGATGGTTTTTAACCCTATCCTACCCCCATTCAGAGTGATTATATGGTTTCTTAGTAACTCAAATCCATTGAAACTGAGCATGACATTGCAGCGACATTCTAACCTTCACACTTTGAATTTGATCTCCTATAAGTAACACAGCTTCTTCTAAGGCATTCAACTTATCCTCTAATTTCTTATCAGTTTTTCTCGAGCTCCCAAAGCATCAGATACATTTTTTGCTAACCCATTAACAAAACTCGCTGTATGTATTTCTTGAGTAAGAGCAATTCCAGCAGTAGAAGTTATAGCAATAGTAGAAACTAGAGCAGCAATACCAGCTATCAACAGATACGTATTGCCAGATTTCCCTGCAGCTTCAGCCACCATCTGAGCGATGGACCGGTGCACTGCTTCCTGGCGCCCGTTGCCTGTGTCTTGCGCCATGGTGCCATACACGTCTTCCCAGCACACACAGCAGATTTGAGAAGTGAAAGCTGGCCCAGAGTATGGCTCTAGAGGGCAGAGATTGACACTTGCCTGTTGTCACACAGCTGTGTCACCCTGACATCCTAGTCTTCGTTACTTCCTGGAAGCTTAGAGGAAGCAAGTGGGTGTGTGGGGCTGTGGATGAATGAAGCCTCACGGGTGGTGGGAAGAGCACACAGCACTTAGAGCCAGGCTAGCCTGGGCTCCCATCCTGGCTTCGCATTTTCACCTCAGACAGTGACTGACCCTGCTGAGCTCCCTTTCCCTGTGGAATTGGGGCGATGATGATACTTAGTATGGTGGGGGGGGGTGGTAGAGTGAAATTAGAGAACGCAAACTACTGTCCCTGGCATCAGTGAGAGCCCCTGCCGCAGAGAGCTGCAAACCCTGCCCCCTCTTGGAAAGCATCCTGATCTATAGGGAGAGTCACCTTGCTGGGGACGCTGGGAAGAGGGTCCTGAAAACAGCCACTTGTGCTGGCCAGGAAGTTGAATGGGGGTGTCCAAGGCAGCAGAGAGTTCTGTAGGTTTCCTGTATCCATGTTTAGTCAGAGAAGTAGCTTGTGTCACCTATAGTGGAGCCTGTTTTGTCTGTTCCGTTTATTTCAGGTTCCAGTGGGATGGGAGCTTATCACGGAAAACACAGTTTTGATACTTTCTCTCATCAACGTCCCTGTTTATTGAAAAGTTTGAAGAGAGAAGGTGCTAACAAACTCAGATATCCTCCCAACAGCCAGTCAAAGGTGGATTGGGCAAAATTTTTCTTTTTGAAACGGTTCAGCAAAGGAAAACTCGGTCTCCTGTTCCTCGCCTTCCTGGGCATCGTGGCTGCCGTGCTTGTCAAGGTAAGTCCCTGCGACCCTGAGGCGCCATCTCTCTGACCCTGCCTGAGTGGCTGCCAGCTGCACTTTGGTTGTCTTGGGAGCTCCTCTAATTTTCAAATTAACTCTGTCTCTCATACTAAGACAGGGTCAGCAAACCACAGCCTGCTGGCCAGCTGCCTGTTTTTGCAAAAACGTCTCATTGGGGCACAGCCATGCCTTCTGCCTGCTTGGTGCCTCTGCTGCTTTTGTGTGTGGCGCAGAGCCAAGTGCTCACAACAAAGACCTTGTGGCCACAGGGCCTGAGCACATCGCAGGCCGGGTTCGCCGACCTCTGGTCTCAAGCACTTAAAACACTGGAGCTGCCTCACAGAATTCTGAGTGATCTAACCCTCTGACCCTTTTGCTCTTGGTGCCTCAGTTTCAGTTTGTTCTTGACTGTGCCTGGAAGCAGCATGGCATGGAGATGGGGAAGAGAATTCTGAGGTGGGCGATAGTGGTGTGGAGCAGCTTCGGTGAGGGAGCTCTGAATGCTTTTCCTCCAAATTTGGCTATCATATAAAGTTTATCTTTGGTGACTAGTTACAGATATGGGCTTACAAGAGGCCCTCCTGATGGCTGGCTCCCCGAGGCAGTTCGTGTATCCTTGGGGCGAAGGAGAAAATCCAAGATAACGCATTAGGTGGAACGGAAAGGCCATGTGTTCCTGGCTCTTAGTCGAGGAGATACATTGAAAATACTGACAGCATCTATGGGGAATAGGCTTGGGGGAGAGGCCAGATTCAAGCATGTCATGGAAATAGCTGTGTTTGTATCTGTATTTTGTTTAAGTTTAGTTGGAAAGGGTGGGCTCATCTTACAGTGGCACAGCTTTGGTGGGATTGGAGATCCAGTTGCACTTGAAGTCATTTGGGTTTTCTCAGAAACACCAGGCTGTGCTGAGGAGGGCCCTGCTGTTCCTCCTGGCAGCCAGGGAGCAGTGCCAACAGCAGGTTCAGACCAGCTCTGCCTGAGCATGAGGTAGGAGCGCCTCCTTTTCTTACCTAAGTGGGCTCAGGGGTTACTGAAAAAAGTGTTTAACTTATTTGTCTTCAATTTGGACTTTGGCCCAGAGTATCAGAGTATTAAAAACATAACGTTTCCACAGTTTTAAAAGGGTGAGGGTGGGTTGCTAGAATCTTAAAAAACATAGAGGTGACAGGTTCGCTGGGTGCAGAGGAAGCATCCGTCATTTTCACAAAAGGGACGTCCTTCGCATGCCTCCCTCCTGTTCCCACCTCAGCCCCCTGGAGGAAGTGCGGGCTGACACTCTAGACCTGCAGTCACCACTTAGACACTGACTCCTTTTGTAACTTGAGAATCTTCTAAAAATCTCTGAAACTCACGTTTTGTTTTGATTTTTTTAAAGTGTGACTTTATTTTTTAATTTTTATTATTATTTTTTTAATCCTCACCTGAGGATGTTTTTTCCACTGCTTTTCAGAGAGGGTGGAAGGGAGAGAGAGAGAGAAACATCGATGGGAGAGAGACATCGACTGGTTGCCTCCCTCATTCGCCCCAACCGGGACCTGGGATCGAGCCTGCAACTGAGGTCTCTGCCCTTGGGTGGAATTGAACCCAGGACCCTTCAGTCTGGGGCTGACGTTCTAACCACTGAGCCAAACCAGCAAGGGCTAAAAAATGTGACTTGTGGTAGCAGACTTGGTGTGTGCAACTTAGGGGCTGCGTATTCTTCCTCACGCTCCTGAGGTCCAAGGCGTGCTTGGTCTCCAGTCATTCCTGTTCTGCTCTTCCCAGGACATCAGCCTGACATGCACCTTCTTGGTTGGGGTGGAATTTCTTAGCCTCATGGAAAATGTGGAGGCCCAAGCTGACTGCCCCCAAGGCTTGCCATCTTCCCAGGAAGGCTCCCACAGGTGCAAACAGGCCAGGGAGCCTCTGCCCAAAGTTTCCCAAAGGGTTTGACAGACGAGCCTTTCTCCCTTAGGGGCTGGAGAAGCAGCGATGTAGGAAAGCGTTTAGCTGGGAGCAAGAAAATGTGGCTGTGATTCCTGGATTTGAGATCAACTTGATGACTTCGGGCAAGGCCTTTTCTGAGCCCATCTTTAGGCCCCAGCTTGCTCATCTATAGAGTGAGGGAGTGGACGGCAGGGATTTCCCAGGTCTCTTTCAGCTCCACCTCTCAGTTCTCATTACTGAGAGCTGATATGTTAGTTCAGATTGGTTTGAATTCACTGTGAGACTAGGTAAAGATTGGGTTTTCTTTTTCTCTTAGCTGCTGCTCTGCTCTCCTCTCTGAGCTTTAACCCATTTTTTAAGTCACATTTTAAAAAAAATAAATGACAGCCTACATTGGTCGTTTATTTGAGGAATCTTTATTATAATTGCAAACACTTTTCTGAAATTGCTTTTCTGTACTAGTTACTTTGTTTATGTGTGGGTGTGATTATATTCATTTTGCTAGAATTAGAATGGATTTGAAACACTTTTTTTTTTTTTTTAAATATATCTTTATTGATTTCAGAGAGAGGAAAGGAGAGGGAGAGAGAGAGATAGAAACATCAATGATGAGAGAGTCATTGATCGGCTGCAGCCCTCAGCCTGGGCATGTGCCCTGGCCGGGAATTGAACCCCGATTGCCTGGATCCTAGGTCGACGACGCTCAACCGCTGAGCCACGCCTGGCCGGGCACACTTTTTTTTTTTTTTAACCTTCACCCAAGGATATGTTTTTATTGATTTTAGAGAGTGGGGTTGAGAGAGAGAGAGAGAGAAAGAAACAGAAACATCGATGTGAGAGAGAAACATCTATGGGTTATCTCACCCACGCACTGACCGCGGATCTAACCCACAACTTTGGTGTACGGACAAGTGGAGCCACCGGCCAGGCGGCTTTGAAACACTTAAGTGGGAAATGGAAAGCAGTGATTGATTATCTCTAAAGGGAGCCTGTCAGAATCTCAGAGTGGGCAGCAGTTTTCTAAATACATTGAAATACATACATATAAGTACACAAAACAGAGTTCCAATAAAACTTAATGTAAGCTACAGAAAGCATTGTAGAGGATGTGAAAAGGTTGAGAAATAAAGATTAAAATTGATAAATCTTATTAGGTCTTTGAAAATTAAATATGGCATTTGAACTCTAAGGTGGTATTGCGGCAACACTTCTTCAGCCTCAGGAGGTATGGATTAAATTCAGTAGTACTTTGGAATTTCAGTAGTGCTTTTTACATTGACTTTTAAAGGGGGAGAGAGAAACATGGATTTGTTGTTCCACTTACGTATGCATTTAGTGGTTGATTCTTGTATGTGCCCTGACCAGGGATCGAACCCACAACACTCTTACCAACCGAGCCAACCGGTGATGGTGAAATCTCAGTAGTATCAAAACTGTTTATCACTTTTCAGATTTCATGCAGAGACTTCAGCTTCCTACTCACAATGTGAGGACAGTAAATGAGCATTTTTAGCTCCTGCCTCTGTTCTAATGCTGTCCCATTGATGTTGGACAGAATACCACCTCTGTCACCGCCTGTCTTGTTACAATTGTTTGGAGTCGGGGGAGGAGAGCATAATCTTTTATCCTCAGACGCACTTAGGCGTCCGAGGGATACACAGGCCTTTTTATATAAGGATTTAGAGCCTGGAACTCAGCTCATGTTCCAGAGCTGGTCAGGCAGTTTTTAAACCAGCAGAGTAACCTGGATCCCTTCCTTCTCTCTCCAGGTTGGATATTACTGAAGAGTGGTCCTGTTCACCCTCCTAGCTGCCTCCACTGAATTAGTCCTCTGTTCACTAGTTAATGAAGCAACGATTTTAACATCCTACCAAAAACAAAGAAAATATGCAGCCCTGTAATCAACCCTAATGTCATGGCCAAGCACCGTTCATACAACTTGCCACTTTAGCCAGATCCCAGCATTCCCCAAGTAAGGACACTCAGAGGACCTATTCTAGATTGCACTGCCAGACCTCAGAGCTTTGTGCCGGGGAGAGAGGATGCCTCGAGCTAAATCTGCACTCCCTGGGAAATGTAAAGGAGTCTCAGGGCCTGCTCAGTGACTTTCTCTCTTAGGTCATGGGACATGGGACGCCCCGCCCCATCCCTGCTGTTGCCTCCATCACTCTGGAAACTTTCAAGAGTTCAGTCCAGAGAGATGAGAATAGATCTTCCCAGGCTCTAGAACTGTGGGTGTGGGCGTCAGGGGAGTCCTTGTCCCTCATTTATCCCTTGGGACTTGAGGACCTGACCTCCAGGAGTTGGCTCTCCTGTGAAACATGCCATTTAGCCAGTGGTTTTCCTCCTTTCTTGTACATTCACTGTCCTGCCTTGTGTTTGGTTTGTGGCAGTCTCTTGTCCATGCCCACAAAGGCTTATTATGACTTTAACACCTGAAGCATCTTGTAAAGGCTAGGACTTCCTGGAAGACAGTTGCCAATTTCATTCAGGTGTCATCTGCCACTCTTATGATGTAGGAGTTCTAGAAGTCTGCGTCTTATAAAACCTGACTGGCATTTTTAAATGTAGTAGTAGAAGTACTGTACTTATAGCAAACTTAACCTCTGTCTGGACCCTGAAATTGCAAATTAGTGGATTTCCAAGGACAAATCTTTAAGTTTTTTATTTCTATAGCACAATGCAAGTAAATTTCACTTTTTAAACTTCAACGAGACCCTTTTTGGATTAAATTCAGCCTACAGAACTTAACACGGGGAAACCATTTCCTGTCCTGGACAAGAGGTCTTGGACATTCAGTACCTGGGAGCTTGAGAGCCTCAGGAGGCTGGTGGGGGTCATTTGAAGAAGTCTGCAGGACTCTAAGCCATAGCAGTTGGCCGTGCTGACCAGGATGGAGGACACAGAAGCAGCTCTCCATGGCCACGACCTGAGATACTTCGGCCTGTGGGAACGTGCCAAAGAGTCCAGCGGGACGCAGCCTCCAACTGGGCGGTGCTGTGGGACTGGCAGCGGGAGCTCCACCCTTCTCCCATTTGGAAACAGACTCCGCCCACTCAGTGAGAGCGAATTTACTTTCTAGAATGTATAATCAGCTTTGTTGAATGAGCTTATTCCATGAAGTATGTTTTGTCTTCTTCACAGGATGAGGCACAAGAATTAATCACTATACTGGTTTAGGAAAAAGCTGCTTAAACTGTATCAGAATAATCGATCATAATTTCAACATGACGTTTTCGTTTAGTATATTGTACATTATGATTTCTAGTTAAACTAAATTACTGGCTTGCCTACTAGTATATTCTGCTTCAAAATAAATACATTATATTTGATGAAATTGGCATGATTTCAATATTGTTCTTAGTTTGAAACAGCAGATGTGATCTTTGGGAGGTAATTCTTTGATTGTAAGTTTTCTCCAACTATAAATACATATTTTGTCTTTATCAGAGGTGGCATTTGTCAACTTTCTTTAAGCCATGCTTTCTCATTTTAAATTCTTAGCTAAGGAGATTTTCTCAAGCTTTACTTTCTGTCCTTTGTGAGATTGGCTCTTTTGTTTTTTAAAATATCCATGTAGTAAATAGTTTTTTCCAACTGCATCCTCTGTCCTGTTGTAATTTAGAGTAAGAAATATATATGTGGTCTTTGTCCCTGTTCCTGCCGCAGAATTAGTGTTAACGATAGGACTTTTGGACAAGGCCTAAGGATGGGCTGGTTGCCAAGGAAACCGACTTTGTGACCCTCTAGACCTCAGAGGAGGAGAGGGCTGGAGGCTGAGTAAAATCACGGATGACCGATGATTTGATCAATGCCTACGTGATGAAGCCTTCGTGAAATCCAGGAGCATGGCGTGGCGAGCAGGACGGGTGAACGTGTGGAGGTTGAGGTGGCATGGAAGCTCCGTGCCCTCTCCCCCCTGCCCTATGCATCTCTCCCATCTGGCTGTCCCTGAATTATATTTTTAATAATTAACTGGTAATCTAGTAAGTAAAATACGCCTCTGAGTTCTGTGAGCCGCTCTAATAAATTAACTGAACCCAAGGAGGGGTCATTGGAACCTCCCATTTGTATCTGATTGGTCAGAAGCACAGGTGACAACCTGGACTTGTGATCAGAGTCTGAAGTTGGAGGCAGGGGTGGGAGTGTGGGAGTGGGGGGGATCTTGTGGGACCAAGTCCTTAGCCATGGGATCTGATGCTCTCTAGGTAGACAGTGTCAGAGTTGAGTAAAATTGTGGGACATTCAGCTGGTGTCAGAAATGCTTAGTTGTGGCGTGGGGAGGGGAACACCAGAATTGGTGTCAGACTCTTACCCTCCGATCCCCATTTGCTAATCTAAAACAAGTGTTCTGCCCGGCCGGGCGTGGCTCAGCGGTTGAGCATCGACCTAGGATCCAGGAGATCGGGGTTCAATTCCCGGTTAGGGCACACGCCCGGGTTGCAGGCTAGGCAGCCGGTCAATGACTCTGTCATCATTGATGTTTCTATCTCTACCCCCCTCCTTTTCTCTCTCTGAAATCAATAAAGATATGTTAAGTAAATAAATAAAATAAAACAAGTATTCCTGTAAGCGCATTCACAGGATATTGATCCCACAAAATTTAACACAAAAAATGGTCCCCCCCACCAAGCCTGTCTACTAGGGATGTGTGAGGGCACCGGCATGTTCAAATACCCAAGTCCTAAAGGACCCTCGAAGTGCTCATGTGTCTCCGAAGTTCACCTGAGTATGGAACCCTTTCCTCAATGCCTGTGAGCTGTAGAGCACGACGGGAAACTGCCAGGCTCTGTACCGAGGTGTTTGATTTGGGTGCCCGAAGCTCACTAATAAAAGGTGTTTGTGTCAGACTAGGATATAGGCTGTGCCTTCCTGTGAGCAGGAGGCCTGGGATGTCTGTATGGACACTGAGAGCCTGAAGATGAATTCAGAGCATGTTGACACTTTGGAGCAGGAGTTAGACTCTGCTTCCTTCTTTCTCTTGTCCTTGATCAATAAATCTGGTTTATTGGTGAATATGTTTATAGCTGTTGATGCTGAAGGGACTGGCCATGGAGGCCAGACTGCCCTCTATTTTTGATGGTGGTATGCGGCTTGGTATAGCAGGGAGCCCATAAATGCTCACCAGGCCTTAAAACAAGCATCCTAGAACTCGAGTCAACACTGAATTCATCCCGAGGTTGTGGCAGAGTGAGCTGGGTTCCACTGCCCTTGTGCGGATATGTTACTACTATAAAAATAGTGTTTCTCAAGGTCTGTGAGAATGAAAATGCCGATGGAAGGAAAGGGTTGGCGGGAAGGTGAGGACAGGTCTGTGGACAGCCTGCCTGCCCTGGTGGGGTGGGTCTCACAGCAGTTGTGGGGGCAGGCAAAAGATGGGGGTCTGGCCCACGGGCCCCTTTTTCAGAGCTTCGCAAAAGTTGCGGACAGACTGGACAGAATATGGGCTGGGAAATGCCTACTTTTTAATGTAATCGTTTTTGTTTTGATTTGAAATGTCCAATTTGAAGCCGTTTGCATTATTGAGTAACAGTGGCCATTCCAGGATCCTCACCCTGCCTGTCAGCTGATGTCTTCAGCACAGCCGTCCAGGTCAGAGGAGAGAGAGCCATTTGACCAGGACAGACACGTCAGTCTGCACAATTTGGACCGTTTGTCGGCAGGCATGGGCTGAAGGTCCTCTGAGGAGTGGTCCCAAGTGTCACCTTGCACTGGATCCCACTGGTGCTTCTGCAGGGTGGGCCTGCGGGTCTCGGCGTGCAGTGGGGCAGCCATTCCTGGCTTCCTTGCTGTCCTCAAGCTGCCCTGGAGGTCAGGATCCTGATGACAAGTCCCACTGTCAGTGTGGCTGATGCCGCCCCCAGAGCCGCCCCTCTACGGAGGGCCAGCTGTTTCCCTGACAGTGTGCTGGGAGGAGCTGGAAGGGCGTGGTCCGCTTCTGGAGTCCTGAAGAGGTCCAGATGGCACTCAGGCCTTGAGTACGTTGTCAGGGTGATGCCAGGGGAGCTGCTCATAGCCACTACAGAGGCAAATGAGCGAGTTCAGCAGTGCTGGGCAGGGTGGAGAGCCCGGGAATTGGGTGCTGGGGTGGCCACCTGGCTGCACCTGCCTGCTGCAGAGCTGGTGGACTGACCTCTACATCTGCAACGGAAAATGCCTGTGCGGGGACGGCCTGCTCGGCCCCAGGATCACCAGAAAAGATTAAATGGGAAAGCATCGTACGTGCAGATAATGTTACTGTGAAGCGGTCAGAGGCAGGTTCCTGCCTGACCCTCCTTTGTCAGGACATGTGATGCACCAAGTGTCACTCACATGTGATGTCAGAGTGCATATTAAATGCTTAGTTGATCACGCTGCACCTGTGTGGCAATTTAGGCTCCAGAGTTTTAGTCAGCTGCTCCCTGTTGCGCGGATCAAGGTGCCAGGCTGGGCTGCGGCCACTGGGACAACAGGGCTTGGAGCCGCCTAGGGCGTGCCTGGCACTCAGACAAGCCTGGGGCGGGTGGGCACCAGCGCCTTGAGCAGGGGCTGTTATTTCATCACAGACACTGGGTATAAGCCAGAGGGGCCTGTCATGCAGGGCAGGGCGGGAGATGGGGAAGCGCCCCCTCGTTAGTCAAGACAGGCCGACTGCCCAGACCAGCAGCGCGGGCCACAGTTCAGGGGTGAGGACACACTGTAGCCCTCCAGCTCGGGTCTTCCCTGAGGGACAGCTAGGAAGGGACCTGAGCTCCCAGCCTTGCTTCCTCACCCGAGCACGGGCCACTGCTCGCTGCCTCACAGGCTGGGCACGGGAGGCCGTTAGTGTGTCCCCCAGGGCTCAGTGCGTCATGCTCACGTGGAGGGGATCGGGCCTGCTCCGTCCCAGTCTCCTGCCACTGCCATTCCCATCTGAACCCAGCAGAAGCACCCTGACAGCATTACCTGAAGCTGTGACGGCCTTCTCGGGCCTGGGGCTGGGGACGGCACATGCCCGGGGCCCGGGGCTCTGCTGCCGCAGACCTGCGCACTTCTCAGCCTGAAGGAGAGAGTGTGCCTGGGTCACCTGCTGCCCCCCGCCAGCCCAGGAGCTGGGCCCCAGGCTGCAGGCCCCCATCCCACCCCTGTGCTTGGAACGTGTGCTCTGCTTACTCCAGACGCGGCCCCAGAGCACAGCCTGAGAGCACTGCAGTGAGAGGAGCCGGGCTGGGCGCGCCGCTCCAGCTCCGGCTCCCGCATGCGGTTAGGCTCTGCCGGGCGTTGCAGAGCCTGCTTGTCCAGCTGCTGCCTCAGACGAGCCTCACTGGTCTTGTGCGTTAACCTGCCACCTAGCACTCCGAGTGGCCTGCCTCTCCTTGATTGCTTGCCCTCCGCCTGCGGGCAGGGGGTGAGGGGTTCAGCTCACGCCCAGAAGCTCGCTGGCTGGGAGTGGTGCCTCAGCCTCCCCGCGCAGGCCTCTCAAATGGCAGGCAGAGCGCACACTCACGGGCTCAGCGTGGGGGCTAGGGATTAAAGTGTGCTGTTTAATCAGGGTCTACCGTGATCTTACATGCCAAGATGGCTTGCTCCCCGCACGGGGGGAAAGCCATACCCTGCTAGGAACTGGGGTCTTTGAGAGAACGCTCCCTTCTGTGCCACCCGAGGCTGGCGGCTGCGATCTATTCCCTCTTCCTGTCGGCGCACGCTCGGCGCCTACGGCTGGGACTAGTCCGACTAGCCCTGCCAGGGTGTCGAGCCGCTGGCTGGCTAAGGAAGGTCTCCTTGTCGTTGACAGTGTGCTGCTTGGACTGGCATGTCTGGGGTCCAATTACGACGACAGGAGCAGGTGTGGACGCCGAGGTGGTCCCTCTGTGACCCCACAGATCACTGCTGCTGAGCCTACTGTGCTCTGGGCGTTTCTGGCGAGTAGTCACTTCACCTGCGCGGCCAGGTGAGTGTCCCGAGGCCAGAGACTGCAAACTCACCTCCTCCGCAGCTTGCTTCCAGTTCATCCGGGCAGTGTAGGCAACAAAGGCAACGGCTGCCAGCACGGCACAGGCCAGCATGCCCAGCCAGAGGCCTGCAGGAAACGGGTGACCGTGGGGGAGTGTCCAGAGGGCACCCAGGCCTCCCTGACTCCTTCCTACTACATACCCATGATTCCTATTCTGACCACAAAGACCAGGACGATGCCCAGTGGGAGGCCAACGACGTAATACGTGACTGCGTTGACCACAGCTCCGAAGGCTTGCCTGCCGGTTCCTCTCAGGACTCCGCCACAGACACACTGGAGGAGGCAGGGGGGTGGGGGTCAGCAACCGTGGGCCTCTGGTGACTCGTGCAGCAGGCACTTCTCTGGGCAACTGAGGTCGTGCGGGCCACTGAACTCCCACAGCACGAGGATGGTGCTCTCCGCCCCCTTCTTCCCTGAGAAGACTGAGCCCGAAGGCCGGGCTCTCGCCCAGTGCTACACAAAGTAGCTGCGTTTCGAACCCAACTCCAGGGCCCCAGCCTCCACCTCCACACCATTATCGCCACACTGGAAAGCACAGGTAAAATTGGTGACCAGCTGCCAGCTGGTCTGGGAGACTCGACTAACTTCAGTCAGAGATGCGGTGTGTTGGTTTCCTATTAGTGCTGTAGCAAATCACCGCAGCCTTCGTGGCTTAAAACAAGACACAATTATTATTTTATAGTTCCGGAGACTGGAAGTCCAAATGGGTCTCACTCTGCTAAAGTCAGGCCAGTTCCTGCCAGGAGCCCGGGGAGAAGCTGTGTCTTCGCCTTTTCCAGCTCCTGCAGGCCGCCTGCACCCTTGGCTCCCAACCTCAGACAACAGCACCATGGCTCCCGCCTCTGCTTCCTCACCACGTCTCCCGCCCTAAGTCCCTCACAAGGGCCCAAAATAGATTCAGTGACATAGAAGCATGGAACAGACTGATGAATCTCGGAGGGAAGGTGGGGAGGGTGGGGAGAGATTAACCAAAGAATTTATATGCATATAAGCATAACCCATGGACACAGACAATAGTGTAGTAAAGGCTTGGGGCATGGGGTAGGTGTAGGGTGGAAGGAGTCAGTGGGGAAAAAAAAGGGGACATCTATAATACTTTCAATAATAAAGATAAATTTTTAAAAAATCGATGTCAAACCATTGTAAGTCAGGGACCATCTGTATATACATTGATCTTACACCTTCCACAAGAGTAAAATGGATCATACACCTAAATGCAAAACTATATGACTCCCAGAAGATAATATAGAAGAAAATCTAGGTGACTTTGGATTTGGTGATGACTTTTTAGGTATGATACCAAAAGTATGATCCATGAAAGAAAAAAATGAATAAGTTGGACTTCATTAAAATTAAAAACGTCTGCTCTATTAAAGACACGGGTAAGAAAATGGAAAGACAAGCCACAAAGAAGACATACTAATGACAAATAAGTAGAGAACTGCAAATTAACACAACAGTGAGATACCACTACACACCTATTACAATAGCTAAAGTCTCAAATGTTGACAACTCCAAATGCAGATGAGGCTGTGGAGCAACAGGAATCCTCATTACTGAAAGGAATACAAATTGGTATGGCCACTTTGGAAGGCAGTTGGGCAATTTCTCGCATAGCTAAAAACATAATAGTACCATACTATTCAACAATCATGCTCCCAGGTATTTACAGAAAGAGTTGAAAACTATGTCGGCACAAAAACCTGCACAAGAATGTTTATAGCTTTATTCATAATTGCCAAAACAATGGAGATACCCTTCAGTAGGTGAGTGGATAAACTGTGGTACATCCAGACAGTGAAGTATTAGTGCTAAAAAGAAATGAGCTATCAAGCTATGAAAAGGCAGGGAGGAACCTTAAATGCATATTACTAAGTGAAAGTAGCCAATCAGAAAAGACTATACACTGTATAATTTCAACTATACGACATCTCAAGAAGGCAAAATTATGGAGACAATAAAAAGATCAGTGACTGCTAGGGGTTAGGGGAGAAAAGGGGACATATGAGCCTGCAGTACACAGAGGATTTGTGTGGTAATGAAATTATTCCTCTACTATAATGGTGAATACATGTCATACATTTGTCAAAACCCATTGGATGCACAACACCAAGAGTGAATCCTAATGNCGATCCCGCGCGGGGGGCCATGCAAGAGGCAGCCGATCAATGACTCTCTCTCATCATTGATGCTTCTCTCTCTCTCCCTCTCCTGTCCTCTGTCTGAAATCAATAGACATATTTAAAATAATAATAATAATAAACCCACACTTATATGGTCAATTACTCTATGACAAAGGAGGCAAGAACATACAATGGAGTAAAGACAGTCTCTTTAATAAATGGTGTTGGGAAAATTTTTTAACATAAAGATGTTAAAAAGAAAAAATGAAACCAGACCACTTTCTTACACCGTATACAAAAGTAAACTCAAAATGGATTAAAGACTTAAATGTAAGATCTGAAACCATAAAACTCCTAGGAAAAACATGGGCAGCAAACTCTTCGACGTCGCTCTTAGTAATATATTTTGACATGTCTCCTCAGGCAGGAGAGACAAAAGGAAAATAAGCGGATGGGACCACGTCAAACTACAGAGGAAAACAAAGAAAACCGAAAGACCACCTGCCAGACGGTAGGAGATATTCATTAGCGATTCATCCAAAATTTATAGAGAAGTCATACAACTTAACACTAAAACAAACAAACAGTTCGAATAAAAAATGGGCAGAGGACCTGAATAAACATTTTTCCAAAGAGGACACACGGATGCCAAGAGACCTATGAAAAGATGCTCAAGGTCACTAATCCTCAGAGATGCAAATTAAACCACAGTGAGGTGTCACCTCGGACCTGTCAGAATGGCTCCATCAGCAAGTCAGCAAACGGCAAGTGCCAGGAGGGTGTGGAGAAGGGGAGCCTGGTGCCCTGCTGGTGGGGTGCAGACTGGGGCAGCCACCATGGAAAACAGTGTGGAGGTTCCTCAAAAGACTAAAAATGGAGCTGCCTTTTGACCCAGTGATCCCACTTCTAAAACTATATCTTAAGAATCCTGTAACACTAATCAGAAAGAATATATGCACCCCTATGTTCATAGCAGCGCAGTTTACAATAGCTAAGATCTGGAAACAGCCTAGGTGCCCATCAGTAGATGAGTGGATAAGAAGCTGTGGGACATTCACACCATGGAATACTACGCAGCTGTAAAGAGGAAGGTCCTTGTACCCTTTGGGACAGGATGGAGGGACCTAGAGAGTATTATGCTGAGTGAAATAAGCCAGGCAGAGAAAGACAAACATCACATGATCTCGCTTATACATGGAATCTAAAGAACTT